CAGTCAGGACATATGCAAATATGAACCAAAAAATGCATAAATAAGTGGAAAAGTAAAACAACAACTCTCTCTCTCTCTCTCTCTCTCTCTCTCTCTCTCTCTCTCTCTCTATCTCTCTCTCCCCCTCTCTTTCTCTCTCCCTCTCTCTCTTCCTCTTTCTCTAAATAAAAATTTAAAAAAAAAAAAATAGTCCCTACTTTATATAATCACTGAGAGGGCAGGGCGGGGTGAGGGGGCAGGCGGGGCGAGAGGGCAGGTGGGGTGAGAGGGCAGGTGGGGGCGGGTCCAGCTCCAGGTAACTGGACCCTAGGTCTAACCCAACCAATCAGGTCAGCCAAGGTAGCAGCACCACCCTCCCTATAAAACCCATTGATATGTTAAGTTCTTCCTCTTTCTCGCCCATGCCCTCGTTGGTGTAGGTGAGACTAGGCTCGGACTAGTCCGAAATAAATACAGACTCTGCAATTGCATCGGATTCGGCTCCCTGGTAGTCTTTGGGGTTTATGACACATGGGCATAACAATCACCAAGTGGCTTCAGTGAGCCTGTATTTGAAAAGTGCTTACTTAGTACAGTGACTTTCATAGAGTAAGGACTCAGTAAATACCAGTGACTATTTTCAGTGGTGGGTAGCCCTGCAAGAGCGGAGTTTCTCAGTCAGATAAGCTAAGCGGATCTGGTCATTCTTCGTGTGGAGGACTGCTGGTGAGCGAGGGTTTAGCAGTATCGCTAGGTCCTCCACCCACAAAGTGCCCTAGCTGTGACAAACACAAATGTCTCCAGACCTTGTGGAGCATCCCTGGGAGCCGTCCCCCCCATGAGAACCGGGTTCTGTACCTCACACCACTCTGCATGCTGTTGCTAACCGCAGTCAGTCACTTTATCCCACTTGCTTTGAGCAATTATTAAATGTTGTTTTGGGCACATTGTCAGTGTTTTTTTTGTTTGTTTGTTTTGTTTTTTTAAACTTTACATCCATTCCCCTCAGATGGCATCGGTACCCCCTTCCTGACCTGGGAGACCCACCCATTCAATTCACACCCTGTGGGCTTTGCACACAGTGCTCAGTGCAGCGCCTGAAATGCTGTAAATGTAATGGTCAGCACAGGGCAGGGATCTCTCTTCTACAGGCTGATGGTGTGCGAGCAGCCCAAAGCTCCCAGCAGCCACCAGGTGGAGCCAGAGGGAAGCCATCCTGGAGGAAAGGGGGCTGGGCTCTGACACCTAGGGCGGTTGGTCATTGACCCTGAATGAAGCCAAACCTGAAGCCATCCCTATTCCCTGGGCTTCGGGCTATGCAAGCCCATGAATTCTTTTCCTGCTCTTGTCAGCTTGGGTTGATACAAATGTCTACTCAGTGCCGACCTTAAGACACATGTTTGACTATGTAACTTTACCGATCTCCATGGCGACCTTGTGACCATGTGTTATTTTATACCGGTATCCCAGGTGGCCAGTGGAAGCTCAGGAAGTTAGACTCACTCCAGTTCCCTCAGCCAGCATGCGGTAGAATTATAATTTAATCTGTTTTATCCAACTCCTAATCCAGTGTATCACACGTGCCCACGGTCCATCTGGGTGGGAGAAATGGGGCCACTGTGTAGGACTAACACTCACTCCATTGACAGAGGCTAAGGAGAAGCAGAAGTCTTCCCAAGGCCATCCCGTGTGTTCCCAACAGAAACTGTGTGAAGTCTGTGCAGAAGCATGTTGGATGTGTGAGAATGACTGGCCTAGGGGGACTTCACTCCTCTTCCTTTAGAGCAGTGAGACAGGGAGGAAATTATATTACTTAATATGAAATGGCCTCGTTTTGAACACACCCAAAACAGCGCAGGAAAAAGTTATCTTCACTAATAAAGCAAGGCAGATATGAAACCGTCACGCTTGGGAGACCAGGGATGGTCTTATTATCCGGAGCATCTTGATGGTAACTATAAAAATTCATCTTCATTTGAGTCTCAGGAAAAATATTAAATAGTAATAGTACCTCGTGCTTCACACTGTCTGCATCCTATAAAACCAGCCCTGCCCCAAGGGGAATCATAACAAAACAGCGAAGCTGCTCCTCCGGAGAAGCCCAGCACCTTCTAGGCCATGTGCATGCACTTGTGCTTTTCCCTACAAGGAAGCTACTCCTTGGGTAAACTTACAAGGGAAGGGAATCCTCTGACCAAGATCAAGAGCTAATAACGAACATAGATTAGCACCCAGTCTCTATGATTCCTGAGCCAGGCTCCCTCAACAACACCACGCGGGCTGAAAAGTGAGTGAGATCCCAAGAACACAATCCCAGTACTTGTCCTTCAGATTGACAGTCTCGAGTTTGCACAGCCTTACCAGCATGGCATGGATAAGAATGCTGCTCAACCAGTTTTGCTCAGTGGATAGAGCATCTGCCTGCAGTCTGAAGGGTCCCAGGTTAGATTCCGGTCAAGGGCATGTACCTTGGTTGTGGGCACATCCCCAGTAGGAGGTGTGCAGGAGGCAGCTGATCAATGTTTCTCTCATCAATGTTTTTAATTCTCTATCCCATTCCCTTCCTCTCTCTAAAAAAAAAAAAATCAATAAAATATATTAAAAAAAAAAAAAAAAAGAATGCTGCTCAAGATTACAAGCATCCGAAGCCCCTGCACAATATGAGATTCAAGATTCTTGCCTAACTGGTTTGGCTCAGTGGATAGAGCATTGGCCTGTGAACTCAAGGGTCCCAGGTTTGATTCCAGCCAAGGACATGTACCTTAGTTTGGGGCTCATACCTAGTAGTGAGTGTGCAGGAAGCAGCTGATCAATGTTTCGCTCTCATAGATGTTTCTCTCTATCCCTTTCCCTTCCTCTCTGTAAAAAATCAGTAAAACATATTAAAAAAAAAAAAAAAGACTGTGGACGGGGTTGTGGGTATTTTAACCACCTAAGAGCTGGAGTTCCTGGAGGAAATACCCAAAAGGTCAGACCATAATGAAACCAAGGACATGGAGTAAAGCTCTTCCATTTTCCAAGACAGCACTTCATAGCTTTCTGTCAAAGGTCACTGGGTAATTGTGAAATGTATGTCTCCAATTCATCCACACTTGTACCTACTACTTCTTCCACCTGAACTATTTCAGTAGCACTCTTTCATCTGTGCCCTGCATTCTATTGTTTACAAATGAGGAACATGATTTCACATACACACACACACACACACACACACACACACACACCACACCTGCTTAAAAACAGCTCTGTACGACTTAGAAGAAATACAAGTTTTTAGAATAATTTTAAGACCTGAGAAGTTCAACCAGATTTCAACCTGAATAAATTAATCTTGAGGAAGGCATTAGGAGTAGTAAAACCTAGAACATTAATATATTTTTAAAAAGAAGTTTCAAATACTTAGGAGATACTATTAATGTTTGTTAAGGTTTCAAAAGCTTCAGAAATTATAATAAAAAAGCCATACGCTTTTCCTATCCTTGTTTCCTATAGAGAGTGAATCAAAGAACAACTGAGAAATATTGGTGTTTGAATGAGTGCTGTCCCAGATGGGCCCCAAATGTCCCAATCGCTGGGGAATTCTCCTGTACACCAATGTGAGTAACAGCGGGGAGGGTGTGGGTTTACGGCCAATAGGAAAGTCTATTATAAAATATGTTACACCTTGATTTCACTGGTTAGGATGAATACATAAGTAACATCTGAGACCCAAACAGGACAATATACCCACCTTCCCAAACAAATTCTTAATTTCCTATAAGAGGTTTTCCCACAAGGATGACAAATAAGTAATTCTGGCAAAGGAAGAACATTGCACTGAAGGTTAAAGTTTTATTTTCTAATGTGAGGACATTTGCTGTCTCTGGGAGATTCACTGGCTCGTTTATAGCATTTCATACTGGAGGTGAAGCTTTCCTCCACCTAACATGCCCTTTCAGAACTCGAAAATAAATGGACCGGAGAAGAGCAGTCTGGGAGAGAAGGATCTTACTTTCCAGAATGGTTGTAAGAGCACCGAACTGATCATATTTCTGAAAAGCAAATTTTAACCAATTGGGCTTTGTTTGGAATGAATGAACAGAGTAACTTGAGGGGAGCGTTACTATCATAGACTCAGGTGGGTCAGGGTCTTGGGTGGTCAGAAATTCTGTGTTTACTCTTCTTATCTCAAGTATATTCCTGTCCTCTCTGACACACAATTGTTGATGTTGTTGTTTGTTGTTTGTTACTTTAATGTGTTTTATCTTCCTTTTTATTTTATTTTATTTTATTTTTATTTTTTGACACAATTTTGTTTAAGTCATAAGTTGTTTCCAACTTTAGTGCAATGCCAGGTCATATGCAGAAGGACCTGTATTTCTTAAAATTCAGTCATTTACAGTTCTGAAATGTAAAATTGGCATGTACTGTTTCAAAAATAGAGCCTACGTTTGATGGAGGGAGGGTGGGGAGAAGAAAAAGGAACACTGATTAGGCTGATCTCTTTGCAGTTAATGATCAACCCAAATGCTAGGGCACCATGATCTCTCTCCCCATGAAGGCCCAGCAGGAAAGCAGGGAGAACTCCTGGGTGTGGCAAGGAGCATGTTTGGAATCAGCCTCCTTTGGGACCAGCAACCAGCACCCTCACCGCACTGTGGGCAGAGCAGGTGGAGCTCATAGCTGCAGCTCCAAAAGGTGCCCCGCTTGCCTGGCTGAGGGACATAAATAGAATAACAACAGGGAGGTTTTCCAAATCCAAGGAGCTGGCCCCTGTTTGGCTTGACCAATGAAGGGCACATTTGGACTTGGTTCAACTGCAGTCTGTGGTATGAAATCAAGCCGTGCAATGAAAATTCGTATCATATTTATGGAACATTAGAATTGCCCATGGAAAAGGAAGCCATGTTTAATACATGAGTGTTTTACCCCACAATCCTATGGTTACGGTCTATGCACTCCCTCAGGGGTGATGCAAGGTGGGTCTCGTACAAAATCCAGGCCTCTGGGGAAAAACACGGAAAAGCAATCAGCGCACTCACCTCCCTGCCTCAAAAGTGAACCAAGCAGCATCTCGCCCGTACCGCCGCAGGGCGCTTAGCGGCCAAGAGATGAGTTTGACTCTGGGATTCTGGACGTCCCAAAGACAGATGTGCTCATATGTAATCTGCAAGGCACATTCGCCATGTACATCTAAGTTAGGAGATGGCATCAAATACACATTGAATCTCTCTGGGAGAAAAACAAAAGGTTAGTCTAAAATCCCCAGGAATAAAACAGCAAAGACATTGTAGGAACAAAGAGGCATTTCAACATCATTCAGGCTCACTGTCTAGCTTCTGACTGAATACTCAGGGAGATAAATCTTTCCCACCAGTTCCACAGTCCCAGAAAATGGTTTTCAAAATGAAGACCATGTTAAATCACATAATAATGATACAATCTGGCTGACAATGTACACTAAACACTATTTAAATGAGCAAAGAGTGTTTTTTTTAATTTTTTTAACTTGCATAATAAAAAAATGTGTAGGCCAATAAAAGATCAAAGTGATGAAACCATTAAAACATCTTTCCCTGCCAAGCACACGCTTGTTACGCCCACACTTTTATGTTCACAAAAGATGCAGGTGCGAAATAACTGTCAACTTATTATTTTCATAACTAGATGAATAAAACGGTATCCCAAACTGTCTGAGTAAAACTCAACACGGACACCGTGCACTTCACAGACCAGCAGTTTGGATATATCTGAACTAGTTTTAACAGTGAGCTGTCTTCAGCCAAACACTGGAAAGAAATATCCATTTGCTTGCTGGGATGACTATTAAAATTTAAGATTACACTAAGATTACAGCTCTTGACTTATTTTATTGCAGCCAAATTTCATCTCTACAGGTACAATCATGGTATTTCTATTACATTTTAGAAAATTCATTAATTTAAGAATTTACTGAGTCAAAAACCTTTAAGTGAAATCTGAACATCTCTACAGCAAACACATTTTCACCTACCCATCATTGTTGATTGAGCACATCTGACAAAACAGAGTGGCACTAATAAGACTGATGCCATTCTCAGCTAATTATTTTATAGTAAATATGTTCTTAGGGTTTTCATATATTTTATTTGAATTTAGTAAGCAGAGATGTCAAGAATGTGCAATGTATCAATGCATCTTTTACTGAAGTTTTCTAAGTTATTTTAAACTCCCTCTAACCAAATATTTGCTGGAAAAAAGACTGTCATCATTGATTAGAAAGTAAGAAAGACTGTCACCAGTTTATTTGCTTAAAGGTCCTTTATAACTACTTTGCTTGAGAATGGCAACAGCAAATATTGGCGAGAAGGACCATTTCTATTACAATTCCTTGCAATCATGCAAATTGATATTGTGAAGTGCCTTAAAAGACTTAGCTGAGTTCCATGATCAACCCTAGTACTTATCTCCCGGAGAATGTATTCCCATTCCCATTTGATAGAAAAGGAAACTGAGGCATGGGACATTGGTACAGGGGAGGTCACTCCCAGTTACAGCCCACCCTTGACTTCAGCCTGTATCGCCATCAGGATGCAGCCTCACACACAGAAATGTGTGAGAAATCAGTGCTGATCAGAGCACCACAGCCTGCCATGCTTCCTCTCTGTGTTTGGGTTCCCGGGCACCTGCCTGTGAGGCATGGCAGGTGGGTTCTCACAGCCCAGGTGTATCCTGATGTGGTGACCACAGGAGGAGTCTGGGCCTGCTGCATGACACTAGCATGTGTCCACCTCCCTGCAGCTCAGCTTCCTAGTCTATAAGAGGTGCCTTCGAATTAACCAGCACTTCCAGGTCCCATCAATAGTGCTTCCATGGCGCTTCCATGGGGGAGGATTGGGGCAGATCTGGTGCCTCCCTCCCAAGTAGTCCTAGGCTGTGACCATGTCATGAAGACATAGTTCCTGTCGGAAGGGAGGACGTATTTTACGGATAGTGGCGTGTGCGCCCACAGAAGGGGTCAGCCCTGTTCCTGGCTAAGCCAGGTGACCCACGGCCTCTGGGTTGTGACACAGCCTCAGAGCTCAATGCAATGGACTAAAGCAGAACTCTGGGACCTAGTCTGCCTGCCACAGGCTCAGCTATTTGGAGACAAAGAAATGATTCTCACCTCCAGGCTCGCACTGTAAAATAAACCAAGATTGATTTTTTTTTCCAGAAGTGTCATGAATATTTTGGTCATTATTATTGGTAATGATTTATTCCCAGGTTGGATGTTGAGCTCCAAGAGTTGGCTCAAGTGTTTCAGTAGAAAGAAAGAAAAAATCACATATGCCAGTGGGTTTAAACTTGATGAAGTTTTCGTAAAGTTCAAATTCTATTAAAAAACACTGGAAGGCTTTCAATAAAAGTGAAAAAGGCAAGGCACAGATCCATGCCACTATTTGCCTGGACATTCTAAATACAGGACCACACATAGTGCGGAATCAACACTAGCTATTGGAACCAGAGCAAGACCTTTAGCTCTTCTAAACCTCAGTTTCCTCGCCTATAAATTGGGAAGGTAATAGGACCTAAGTCATAGGGCTGCTGGGAAAACCAAATAATCTAACCCACCTTCCTCAGAAGCAGGCACAGAGCAGGCTCCCCCCAATTTCTAGCTGATATTATTATAGATATATTCATATCATGCATCAAAAGCATATTAAAAAAAGAAACACTCTGACATATTAACACAGGTTTTAGGTGAAATAAAAGCTTATTTTGCTTCTATATACATTTTGTATAACTCTAAAAGGTTTACATAATGAAGATATTATACATTACGTTTTCTTATATGGGGACAAAACAGTTTCACAAAGAGCAAAGCAGAGAATTCTCTTTACGTACCACTCTGCTCTCTCTCAACCCCCGTGGCCAGCAGGTCAGGCTCCCCGAGGCTGATGTCATTGATCCGTGTCCCCACGCACTCCATCTGGAGCACCTTGCACCACTCATCAGCCTCGAGATCTGCGGAAACGCCCAAGAGGAGCCCGTGAGCCCAGCGCGCGTGTCCCGGCTGGAAGCAGCCCGCCCTGCCGCATGAACGAACCTGATTCACAAGCGAAGGTCTTGGAGGTGTCATCGCTGAAGTAGATCCCTATGGCGTGCTTCTTGGTGCTCTTGGGCAGTCGAGCCACGTTCTTCACGTTGTTGAGTTCTGTCACCTGGAAAGTAGACAACCACAAGTTCTACCACACTCCCCAGGTGGCGCTTCTCACCAACAACCCCAACCAAGGGCAGACACAGGGAGGAAGAGGAACACAGCTCCACAGTGTCATCAAAGCTCAGACTCACTCCAGTGTCATCCTTAACACAGAGCAAGGAAGGTTAACACATTACCTGCGTTTTCTGAATGTTCTGAGATATGTGACAAGACTCTCCTTCCTAAAGGTAGAAAGCTAGTTTTATTTAGTCTTTCTATAACCCCCTCCCCCAAAGACTCGCTTCTCCACATTTCTCATGTCCATCTCCATCGCCGTGGACAGCCACTCTGAGTGGAAGTGTCTTAAATCCAAGGACCCCGAGGAAGGAGAAGGAAAGCTGGTACAGTGCGTACTGAATGATCCCACTCTGCCATCCAGAGATGGAGTGTCAGGACTTCCAAAACACCCTCCACTCAAGTTCAAGTCCTCTGTCCTGTACAGAAGCTGGTCTGTGAAACATTTCTACCTCCTGGCTTCTCTCTCTGACTTCTTAGCTTTTCTCTATGACCTTCTGGCTTCTCTCCCCAACCTCCTAGCTTCTCTATCCAACCTCCTGGCTTCTCCCTCTGAACTCCTAGTTTGTCCCTCTGACCCCTGAGCTTCTCTCTCTGACCTCCTGGCTTCTCTCTCTCTGAAATCCTAGCTGCTCCTCTGAATTCCTAGCTTCTCAGTGGCGATGGACACTGTCTGAGAGCTGGGAACTCTGCACTGGTATCCCCTGGCTGCTGTCAGCAGGGAAAGCTCTCCCATTGCACACTGTCTCTCTCCTGCCTCTCCCCCAGGATTCTTTCTCCCTTCAACACATTTGCAAGCCCCTCCCCTTATCGTGTTTCCAAATGGCTGCCTTTGCTGGGGGTCTGTCTAGGTCCGCTGCTGCCTCCAGGGGTGTGAGCACTGGGTCCACCTGAGAGAAGGTTTACAGGGCTTCAGCGTGGAGTACTTACAAAATAAACCACTCTTCCGCACTGACAAGGGTAACCCCCTTCCTTTAACTCCTTTGTGTTACACAAAAGAATGTGCTCTCGCCGAAACAGGTTTGGCTCAGTGGATAGAGCATCAGCCTGCAGACTGAAGGGTCCTGGGTTCGATTCCAGTTGAGGGCATGTACCTTGGTTGCAGGCACATCCCCAGTGGGGGATGTGCAGGAGGCAGCTAGTCAATGTTTCCCTCTCATCGATGTTTCTACCTCTCTATCCTTCTCCCTTCCTCTCTGTAAAAAAATCAATATATTAAAAAAAATTTTGGAAAAAAAAAAAAAAAGAATGTGCTCTCATCGACCTTGCCTTCAGTCCCATGCACCATTTCTCCCACCCTTACTCAAACTTCAATACATGTCTGGCTCAAGAAGCAGGTGAGGAGAGAAAGAAACACCCTCCATGAACGCGCTAATCTGCTAGTTTCATTCCTCTGCTCCTGTGCCTCCACTGACTCCCTCTATAGTATAAATGCAAACGTCTTAGTGTGAAATACCATTAAAGTTGCTGTGGACCAAATGCTTGTGCCTCCCCAAGACTCTTATGTCAAATCCTCCCCACCCCGCCCCGCCCCACCCTGCCAGGTGCTGGTCCTGAGGCCTTTGGGAAATGCTTAGGTCTTGAGGGTGGAGGCCTCAGGAATGGGGCCCATGCCTTTACAAACCAGACCCCAGAGCGCACCCTGGTCCCTTCTGCCAAGCGAGGACACAGCAGGAAGACATCATCCATGAACCAGAAAGTGAGTTCTTGCCAGAGAGTGTGTCTGGCAGAGGCTGGACCTTGCACTTTCCCAGCCTCCAGAGCTGTGAGGAAGACACTTCCATGCTGACAAGCCCCCAGTGCATGGCGTTCGGTTACAGCAGCCCAAACTGAGGAGGACACCAGCGGCTCCCAAAGCCCACCACACCAGGCTCCAGTGGCTCCACACCACCTGTCTTATTTTCCAACTACACTGAGTGGCTTAGAGCTTACCAGACGGAACTGCTTCTATATGGTTCCTTCTTGTGCTACTTGCTGCCCCATATAAGCCACTGCCATCCTCCCAACTACTTATAGGTCTCTCCACTTCCATCGTAACCTTGTTAATTAATTCCTTGTGAACACAGCATCTGGATGATCTTTTCAAAATACAGGTCCTACGCGAGCATGTCTGTGCATAAAACACTTCAATGACTTCCCGTGGAACATGGGACAAAGGCACAACTCCTCCAACTGACCATCAGGACCCTTTGTGGCCTTCCCCATAGTTATCTCCCAGCCTCCTCTCTGACCCTTCAACACGTGTTCTCGTCCCAGCCACAAGGGGCTTCTTTTACTTCTGAGAAGGGACCTGATTCTTTTTGCAGATCCTTCCCCACTATGTCCTAATGTTGCTCCCATTCACCCTTTGGGTCTCAGTTTAACTCTCAGTTACCTGCAGAGCCTAAAGGACAACCTCACCCCCTTCCCAGCCCATCAGAGTCACAAGACTCTACCATCCAATGACATCTTTGCCCTCAGGCCCTCTGATGTCCATATGGGTGATGATTTGGTGCCTGGCTTGCCTGTGGAGGGCGGGACAGCATGCATTGCCCACCACTACGTCCCTTGAATCTAACACAGAGCTTGCCGCACAGTGGAAACTCAGTCAGCAAAAGGATAAGCCCACCCACAGGGTGCCTCTCCAGAGCGGAAGCCCCCTCTCCTGACTCTTCTCTCTAGGGAAATGTTTCTTTTCTGCTTCCCCTGGGAAACCTGCCCTGACCTTAGTAGGAATTATTGCTCCCCTCACATGCATGCTGCATAAAGCTGTATCTATTACTCCAGCTCCCAGCGACACACCAGTCCCCTCACAATGACTTCCTGATGGATTCCATCAATGAAAAACAGCCATTTGAGAGTCAACATTGATAAAGCCTGGCACTTTGCTTAGACTATTCTTAACAGGATGTCTCTTTTTATCATCACCAAAATGCTATGAGGCAGCTATTACTCTCAGTATTTTCAAAATCAAGAAACTGCAGCTGAGAAAGGTCAAAGTCATGTGCCCGAGCTCACAGCTAACTACCCAAGTTTGCAATGAGGCAAACCACCCCTGAGCCCTGTGCTCTTCAGCTGCCTGGATGGATGCTAATGACCAGCTCTAAACGTTCAGCACAGAATCCATCTCCTCCTGGAGGGCCTCTTTCTTTCCCCAGGACGCGGGGTATGAGTATGACGTGAGTGCCCCAGGCTGTATGTGAGTCATTACAAGAGGCAGTCTACCCTGGCCTGAACGACAGCAACGACCGACACTGACATGTGCCATTTCATTACACAGGCAGTAAGGGCAAAGAGGAAGAAATAAGTCACCCAACAAGTCAGGAAATGCAGAGAGAACTGTGTGAGTCACATCACAGCTACCCATTTTGGAAATTGGCTTAGATGATAACCACCCACACCCCCGCTCAGGGGACGTGAGTGAGTGTTCACAGACCTGGCAGAATTTCATTTCATTTGTGGAAGGCTATTCAAGCTCTGAAGCAGCAGCTTCTGTCCCCAAATCAGAGCTACATCTCAGTGAGCATGTGCGTGCACATACCTACAACCCCTCCCCCCGACACACACACAGATTCGCACAAGCACGCTCGCACACTCCTTACTTTAAAAAAAATTGCCATCTACCCTAATCCATATATCTTCCTCAAAATATAAGGCAAAGTGATAATTACAAGAACTAACATTTGCTGATATATTTATCTCACATAAAACTTTTATAAAATGCATTTAACGCCACTGTCACTCCATTTTGTAAAGGAGAAAACCAAGACAGGATGTATTTTTTTTTTAATATTCCTTTAACAAAAAAACAATTTGCTGCTAAAGAACCACTTTTAAAGTAAACACAGATTTTGATAGGGTCTCAGGGTCCCATTGGATATGGATCCTCCAAGACTATTAGATCCTCACTGCTCCCTCCAACAGGAGGAGCACCCAGGACCAGGGACATGCACAGTAACCACTCACCGGCCATGTGAAGTTCTTGTCTTTTCCTTATGTCTCCGATCAACCAGAAGTAACTTCCTGCCAAGCTCAGAACTTGTTAGGAGAACTCCCCCTTGAGCCTCTGCAGTGATCTTTTTAATTTTTGCTCACAGCACAAGAGCAAGACGCACCATAAGCTCTACCTGAATTATGATGTCCCTCATACAGATCTTCAGCTAACCACCACTGTTCTAGAACCGCATCCTCTTAAGAATCTCCTTGCATTCATTCATTCACTCATTCATTCATCACAAATGTAAATCCACGGTTAAAAAAAACAAAAAAAACAATCCAGGTGACAACCAATGGGCCCAACTGTCATGGCCTCACCCAGAGCAACTCCCATTTGCTTGGCACAAGCATGACGCTAGATTTCAATAGAAACTTGGTCATGATTTGGTTCCCACATGAGGTCCCAAAGGTCCTTTCTGCACAGGGCTATTTGCTTATTGTTTCTTTTCTTGTGGGTTACTTGGGTAAGCTGCTAGTGGCTGGTTATTTTTTCAAATAAATCTGTGACCCCTCAATGTGTAACTTTCCTTTTTCTTTTCCAAGATTTATTTAAGTTTACTGAATCCAGCTACATGATCAAACAAGACCAGAAACATCCGTATGGCTTACTGAAAATGTCAATATTAGGACCTTTGAAATACTTGATTTCCTGGAGAAACTGAATGTGTATTTTCTAAAACCCACGTCAACTTCAAGCTTAATCTAATTTTGTATATCCTGGGGCCAACACAATCCTTGGACTAATTGAAAATTCATAGAAGACAGCGGCTCTTTGAAAAATCCGCTGATAAAGAGATAATGAACAGTACTAGATGGGAAGTTCTGTGATTAAAAAGGTATGTTAAGGAGCATAGAGGCAGGAAACGATGAGGTAAAGATAAGATTTGGCAAGACTGATTCCCTCAGAATTTGGAGCTATTTCAAGTCAGACCAAAGGCAAATTCTGCAGCTCACAGCAACCTTCCGTTCCTT